AAGCAGTGGTATCAACGCAGAGTACTATCTACCAATTGCACCGAGCAATAGAACTAGAAGAGCCTGTAGATCACTTATAATGAGAGAAAGAGCGATAGAAATTCACACAGCTTTTCCTGCAGTACTTTCCTTACCATATGCAAAAAATGATCCAAAAATGTGATATTATTAGTGATAAATGATAAAATGCTTATATCAGTGATAAGGGTAAATAAAAACTGCCCAATTTTTCGCGATAGTTTTCGATAATGAAAACTTGTACCAGAACCTGCTATTCGTGATTTACGCTGTGATAAATGTTCACAAAAGCCTTAACTTAGGGAACAACAAGGTATCATTGTATGTCTACCCTCTCACCACGAATTACGGACATACTGTATATCAAACGATTCGTCTCATCAAGCTGAAGCCAAATCTATACGTAGATTGCAAATAAAGTGGATTTAAAAGAAGTTATAGCTAAATCCCGCAAGTCGCGCAAATCCCGCGAATCCCGCAAATCCCGTGAAGTCGCGAATCCCGCAAACATCGCGAATCCCGAAAATCCCGCGAGTCCCGGAAATCCCGCAATTTTAGACAAATTCCACGGTCACAACTGTAAAAAGCCAATTTTACGACTCAACAGAAAGAGAACAACGAAATCAAGTATTTATAGCGGATTCTCAAACTGCCGTGCATGCCACTTTTGGACTTTCAATTCTGAGAACTGCCCCAAAAGTACAAAAATCTGTTCCCTGCCCGATGGAATTGCTCTACGTGCCGCTTACACACCGATACCCAGTTGAAACCAGCGGGACTCAGTTACATAAGCAAAAGCAAGGCTGTTGTTAAATAAACGCTGCTAAAATTACCAGCGAGACTAAGTTATTCACGCATGTCTTGTCTACACGCGGAAGCAAGATAATCCTAAAGTGACTGTTGTTAGAGCATTTTTACGAAGAGTTGAGAATATAGATGAATTTAGCTCAAGTCACGCTTTCACGCAATTTGGCATCATTTCGAAAGCAACTAATAGTAGTAGAACATATTTGAAAGACACATTCTGGGTTCAAAGTTCAATTTTGAAAAGCTGGTACAAATAACACACCCGGACACTGGCGACACAGTCTCAAAATCATTGCGACACTCATGATTGTCTTTCGAAACCCATGTGACCCTTTTACGAAAATATGCTTGGTCGCTCGTTATGAAATTTGGCAGCGTTCCAAAACGCATGCCACTTGGCAGCAATCCAAATCCAAAGATCAGTGTATTTCATCATAATTTTTACGTCTGCGGCCTCCTCGTTTGCCATGATCCAACTATCGGCGGCTTAATGGGTAAACAACGAATTCGTTATATATTACGTAGTGATTTCCTCCTTTTGCGACCCCTCCCCCACCATAGGTACCCCGCTTACGACCCCCGTTGCGACAGTCGCATCATACGCTTGACACTGATTGAGAACTAGGTCGTCAGCGCTGCGCACGGGGAGTAACGCTGTTGCGTCCGTTGACGATATCTCCTGACTGGAGGAAGCGCAGAGAAAAACAGGCGGCGAGAGTGCACGGGGAAAGAGGAGTGACGCGCAATACACACCTTGCGCACTCTCCGCGCCCTGCGCGGACAGCCTATATCAGGGTGGAGGCAGGGCCCGGCACGCGTTGGTTTGGAGGTTTTTTGGAAGCGAAGTCCTCCATGACTTCGCGAAAATTTACGAAGTCCCTCTTGATGTGAAAATCAGTAGGGAAACCCTTATTCAACCAAAATAGCAACAAAAAGGGAAATAAGCGCATTTTGAGGTATGTAATATAACAAAAAAGCAAAAAAGCAGTGGTATCAACGCAGAGTACTCTCTGCCATTGGGTATAGTACCATTTTGATGCTGGGAATGTCGAAAATCTCCTACAACCAAATCTGTAGCCTCAACAATCCTGCGATGCATTTTTCGCCACATATTTCAAAGGACACCGCAAGTGATTGGAGCGCGATATCTATCAACGCGTAGAATTATACTACTTTTGACTCAAAAAAAGGGGAGAGGCAACGGTTTGATCCGCTCTCTTCACTACATGATAGATTTTTGACCGTTCTAATCGTCCAAATCAAAAAGGTCCAAAACTTATGTGAACTCTCTGATGTTTATGCTCCGAACCAACCCAGTTGGTTTGGTAGTTGGTCTAGAAACCAACAAATCCGAGAACGGATATTAGGACACATAAGTTTTGGGAACTTTTTACATAGCATAGTTTGGAGTAATACTGTATACACATAGCCCAAATTCGGAGCCATGTGATTGTTTGTGCGCTGTAAACAAGCCGTTTGTTTGTTTGAGTCTTGCGTTTGAAATTCGCGCGCTTGCGAAAGAACACGTTCAACTTGTGAAACCTGACATGTTCGTCGTGTTTTTTGGCGCTTCCTCCAGGACCTATAAAACGATGTCCCCGTTGCTTCCAACTCCAAAAACGAAGTCCAGTTTGACCCCAAACCATCGGTGCCGGGCCCTGGGTGGAGGACTATATGTCGCCGAATTTGGAAGAGTCCTGCGCGGATTCCCTGCAGGAACGCATGTCCGCGCATATACAAGGATACGCATTTGTCGCAAATGACCGCGGGGAACGCCCTTTTTCGGCGACATATAGTCCTCTACCCCCCTATATCACTAGATGCGCCTTAGGACGCTTACAAATCTGCTTTCTCTATCTGCTAAACGGTTGTCTAAAATAAACTACGAGCTTCTCGTAGTATAATTTGTGCTCTCTAAGGTATACTCAAACTCATTGTTGACTGAGCTTTTTGGCAACTGGCATGTTATTCAAGCTCAAGTGAATGCGTTCTTTTTCAAATGTTGTTCCGATGAGCGAAGCAAGGATAAGCGATGTTCACTGATGTGCCTAAATGGAAAAAATTTTTATGGAAAAAAGGTCACAACTTACTTCAGAAAATGGCTTAGCACATACCGAGAGCAGATTTAAAATTAGCTTTTCAAGAAGTCTCTAGTGATATGTGCCTCATTACAAATGGTCATGTCACCAAGTATCCTTCCCTTGTGGCACTTCTCATGTAAAGGATCCATTCACACTTCACTTCGAAAAGATTAAAGTGATGACTGAGTGGAAAGACTTATGCCTCCAGAAGGGGATCTCACACAAGCATCGGCAACACTTTACGCACTTCCGTGAGAGCTCCGCATTTGCTGCGTTGTCGGCGAGACCTCCGCTTTCGGCGAACTATTCCTTAACCTATTTTCTGATCGTTTATGTTCAGTACCACATAACTTTAGCATAATTTGAGACCTCTGTACAGTGGCAAACATGCAAAAAAGCAAGATATAACAGACTCTTCATTACAGGCAAAATCTAAGTACTGTACGCAAACAAGTAATAGTGCCAAAGTAACAAAAACAAATGACAATATCCATGTATGGAACATATCGTTAAAGTTGGAGTAAATGATTCACACAACATATAAATTGCTGACTGGTCTAGATCATAGCACTGATGAAGAAGTACAGGTATAGGTGTGAAGTGACGCACGGCCATGTAATATGCAAAAATATCAATGTGGATTTTCCGGTTCTCCAAGATACTTTATCATCAAGCGACGCATATTATGCCATTTCCTCATATCGTCAGCATAGGTGCGAAGCATGTGTGAAACTTCGCAGCGACAAAGAATACCTTCGACGGCCAAATCCTGTGAAGAGTAGGTTTGAGAGCTGTACTAATCCTGTTGCCCTGATCACTGTCAGTGGCGAGCTATTCAAGGTTAGTAGAGCATACCGTAATGTTTCTGACAGCAATCGCGGAAAGCAATGTAGATTTTAGATTCGTCAATAAATCTACAATGTCGGCAAGAAAATCTGGATCGAAAAAATTATGACGGCTCAGACGCCACACGACTGCCTAAATGAAGAATAAGATTTTGAAGCAGACTTTAGTTGATGTTTTCGCTAGATGCTTCGCTGTGGATAATAGAGATCAGTACACAATTATGTTTATTCCATAATCCATAGAATGTTTTGCCTTATAGAAGGAAGTCTTGTTGCTGAACGCGCTAAGGTATTCGACAGTCTAGTAGATTACTCACTCAATATAGTGCGCTCGCGCTGTTGAGAAGTTTGCCCGTGAACAAATACAGTCTGTCCCAATCGGGATGAGGCCGAACTGTTCGCGTAAATCTGCGCGCTCTCCGCGCCGTGTTTTCGTCGCCTATGCACACTGTCGGACAAAGCGCAGAGATTGGAGAGAAAGCGACAGTCACGCCGCAGACGTGACGCAGAACACTAACGACGCGTACTCCCGCTATACCAATTTTGACCTGATTGGGATTGGTATAAGCTCCTGCAAGACGAAGGCGGTCGGTTCGATGTGCAACGCTACTGCGACATGGCTGCGTCACAGCAGCGTCACAGCCGCGTCACAGCCATGTCGCACCTCAAACCAACCGCCTTCGTCTTGCAGGAGCTTATACAGACTGTAGCTATGCCTGTAATGCCGGCCACCTGCGCGTCTACAGGCCGGCAGTACAAGCGTGGTTATTTGCTCGCGCGCAAATTTAGCGCACAATCTTGGCACCGCAAGTACACTTAAGCGGAGATTGTATTAGACTGCACTAATATAGCATATATACAGTGGCGTACCCAGGATTTCGGCTCGGGGGGGGGGGGCGCGGCAAAAAAAATTTTTAAATGAAGGTGCGTGGCGTTAGCCACGCACTCCGAAAAAATTTTAGGGGGGCTTCTCAACAATTCTGCGGGCCCCCAACCCCTAAAATCTGGAAAAAGGGGGCGTGGCGTCAGCCACGCCCCCGAAAAAATTTTTTTTATAAGGCTAATTTGAATTTTTAAAAAATTTTAAAAATTATTTTAATTGCTTACAAAAATAAACAAGTCATTTGCACATTTTTATAACGCATGTAAGTAATTTTCAAAAATTTCGCGACCCGTTCTCGGGGGGGGCGCGCGCCCCCCCCCCCCCCCGCCCCCCCCCCCTTCGGTACGCCACTGCATATATATGATCCTCAGCTAAATTCACTACAAGCGCACAAGAAAATCAGCGATGCTGCAAACGCAGAGGACGGATTCGGAAGCTTCAAAGCCAATAAACACTCACAATCAACGTGTTAACATTGGTATCAGCTGGCAAGAAGATGTCACGGTTTTCGTTGAAATTGCCGAAATCGATCTTCTGAAAAGCAGTTTGCAATTCTGGAGTTTCGAAGATCAAAACCGACATCTAGAAACAGAGCTTCCTTTTCCTTGAGCGCTTCGACAGCTTCGATGAGATCTATAGTCAAGATTCTATCCTGCTCAAGGAGTCTTACAGTGTTGTCTATGCAATTTCGAAGTGGACGACCGCATGGTAACTTGAATGGGCAGCCTGCAACCCTCCTCTCGCCTTGCATACCGGAGTTCGGAACTGGTAAAGCTGGGAACGGACCTGGAAAACAAAACCTAAAAAAGCAAAGCTCTTTGATTTTTACAGCCTTTCCAGCTCGCTGTATATTCAACGATTAAAATGGATCCAAAATAGTTGACCCAAGAATGTAATTCATCATTTTGTTCAAACTTCGTCTAGGGGTTTAAAACGCTGAACGCTTAAATCACAAATATGTTGCATAATAGCGCCACTGGTGGAATTACAGTAGGAATACGGTGGGTGGCAAAAATCACGCATCTGCTCCGGACTCCGTCTACAGCGCTTATGGGTATACAGTGATGTATATTATCAATTTCACACCGTGAAGCTATTTTATCGTATTACGGTGTGTAAGTGGCTCAAATTTTCTAATTTTTTAATTTGTCTAAAGGGGTTTCTAAGGCTTGCTGACTAAAAATCATGCTCGTTCGCTCGATAACTCTTTATTGTAGCTTCGTATAATTGGTATATATGAATAAACACCTTTTACACTTTCCAGAGGACGATTCCAGAAATCCATGAAAAGGCCGTATCAAGTGAGCGGAACAAAACATCAGCTTACTTCCCCAAAAAAAAAATTTCAGGCAGACTAAGAAATTTCGCCTCCGTATAGCTATCGTTACTCCTTGGAGAGATCCCAAAATGCAAATTGAGTATGATGTTCGTAATCAGCATGCTTATGAATCCTTTTAGGCATATCTCTAAGTAAATTCAACCTTTGACCCATCTACCGTCCCACCCTAACCTCGAAAAAATGGCGCTACCGTGCGAAAATATTGTGATACTCGTGATCAGCATTCCAAGGGTAATTCTCTCTCCCCTTTGACGAAATTTTAGCACGATCCACAATGTTTTTTAGGTGGAATGACGTGGATTACTCATGCTATCCCATGCGCTGGATCGAACAGTATCCGAACCCTAGTCGAGACTGAAATGTGATGTACCCGACTCTCCGGAACCACAGACCGAGGATGTCTATGAACTATCTGTAGAAATTATCACAGTAGATGCCAAAAATATAAGGTGTAAGCCTCGATAAGAGGCCCCACATTATTTCGTTTTCTACGCATGTTTTGTCTACAGTATTACATGAGACGAACCAAAAATTTGAGAAGATTTGCAACTTCTTACGCCAAATATATTCTCATTGTTTAAGCAGATCGAGCGACAACTGGCTCACAGCTAGCATTACTACAATGCGTTCAAGGAAGCCAGCGCCGCGTAGTGCAGTCACACATCGACGCGGAGCAGGGACCATGCTGCGTACAACATCGCGGACCTTGTTTTTATCATTGTATCTGTTAATTTTCCATTTTTATAGCATCGGATTGCCACTTTTCTTGCTTCTATGCTCATATGCGATCTGTCTTGATACCGGATATGATTTTTTTGCAGCAAAGGAAAGAGGTATCAAATCTTTGAGCGTTTTTCTTCATGACATCCTTCAGTTCATCCAGGCCTTCTTCAGATGGCTGATTCCGGATGTCATGATTTATTATATCGACTCGTGTTTTAGCGGACATAATCGTATATCGTTTAGGTTTGAGTGAGCAGCGCCAATGAACACGCCGTTCACTTAAACTGTTCTTTCAACCGGTACGATACACGATTACCCCTCAAATATTCACCTTTAGCTGTAAGGAGGAAGAGCACCAGTCGTTCGCAGAGTTTTCGAATGAAATAATTTAGATTACATCTTTTTTAGACCATAGACCTCCATATTGTCTTCCGTTCGCGCGGTGATACTTTGAGAGATCTCAGAAAGTCCCAAAGTAGAGTTTCAGACAGGAAAAATCAAAAAGTTGGAAGCAGAACGAATAAGCTAAGAAAGAAGCAGGAAGAGTAGCTAAAACAAGGACCACGCCGCTTTGCGCAGCATGGTCCCTGTACGCTGCAGCCCACGCGCTCGGCCTGTGTGTGACTGCAACACGCGGCACTGGCCCCGTCAAACGCGTTGTACATATCGTCTGCGCCCCAGAGAGGTTCCCATAGGTACCACGTCATCTCGCTGCCTTCCGCACTTCTGAACGTGTTAACCTCGGGCACTTCCGTTGAAATATCAGGAGAAACGTGTCAAAAAGAGCGAAAGGCAGCGTCGCACCACGTACGCACGCTGGTTCACATGGGAACCTATCTGGGGCGCAGACGGTATGTCCGTTCATCGCCCACCGCTGGCCAGGCTGTAAACTCAAAATTCTCTCCAATACCGTCTCCCCGCCCTCCTCCTAATCTTTCTTGGAAGCGAGTTCTGCCGGCAGGATTTTCCTACAATCCAAAATGTGACAGCATATTGTTAATTAGACAGAATCGACTTTCTAACATTTTGTCATGTAGGCGTTCTCGCATTCAAGTTAGCCTTGCTGAAGATGGCACGAAGGTTTCACCACAGAAATTTTGAATAGCGGTAAATATTTTAGAGAATCTGCGAGTTATCACATTTTACAGGCAACAACTTTTTTACACATGGACAGTTCGCATAGACAACACAAAATCGCGAATGTATGACAGTCAATTAAGTACGTCGAGATCGACAATCAAAGTACAGTCAAGTAGATTTTCCGCTTAACATAGTGTGCTTGCACAGAAGGTGATGCGGTAAAATTTGCGCGTGAAGAAGTAGCCACGCCAGTACTGCCGGCATTTTGCACCCGCAATTGGCCGGCGCCTCAGTCGAAACTATTTGTTTGCGCGCAAATTTCACCGCATTTCACTTTCTGTGCAAGCACACTATATTAAGCGGGAAATCTATTATCGACTCCCCAACTTTGGCGAGGCGGGATCGTGATCTTCACCAAAGATCGATGGATCAGGTATGCCTCAGCATAGGGCAACCGCAACGCAAGGCACGCTAGCGCAGCTCCGCCTCGCCAAAGTTGTGGAGCCGCTCATACTCGACTGTAGATATCGGTAATTTTGGGGTAGCGTGTATACATATACGGGTGCTAGCAACTGAATAATCCATTCTCAACAGTTAAGCATGAAAAAAAAACAATACTATTACCATCCACAGCATCAGCGCTACTGTCAGCAATCGAGCTAATTGCAGCTCTTATGGCTTCCACTTCCCAATCATCAAACTGTAATAATGACAACATACAACAGGCAAAAAATGAGCTAAAACGGTTTCGACGTACCTGTCGCGCGAGCTCACGCAGCTCCGCTTCAACTCTGACACGATGGTCACACCATTCAGGGAGTATCGCCTTAGCTTTATCACGCTGTTCTACATATGAGCGGAGCTCTTCCATCTGTGGTACTGGAGGGCTCTGAGGGTGAACTAGAACTGAAAAAAGCAAAGTGGCAAGCACAGCATACACCTACGATTGCATCCATCTCTCGATAACCTCAGCGAAATCTTGTCGCTTCAATCTGACGTTCTAAATGCCACGGCTTAGCGCAAAACAATCGCAAGATCAAGTGCCTCAAGCGGAAAGTTCATCCGCCACTTTAGGGCAAGCAGACTTTCATGGCACTCCATCAATCCAATAACACATCTATTTCAAAACATAAGGCTAAGAGAAGGTACACAAGCTGTTTTGCCTTTCCATCTTGATGAAAGTTGCGAAACACTTTCGACACAAAGGCGCAGGACAAAGGACGTTGTGATTGCTTTGCCCTGCGCATGCTACAGTATCCCAACCAAAAATTCAGAAATTCACTTTGATTTGCATTCTTTAGCGGGAGTTCCTAGCGTGGTCTCAGCTAACCGACTAAGACTTATTTGAAAAGTACGGCAGTTCCTATGCCGTTGCTTACATCTACAATAAACGTAATGACTGATGCATAAATCTCACATAGTCTAAAAACAACATTTCAAAGCTGACATCTCTCTCTCTCTTACTGCTCTTCGCTAATGTGCAGAAAACGGCAGATTTTTCGACCCATAACGGAAGTTCTTTGGTTTTAATTGAAGGGGAAACTCCTTCCATCTTATCTGCTCTTGTCAGATTGTACCCAGAACTTTTCAGGGAAACCCTTGCTGGATCTTTTCTGGAAAGTGTGACTGAGAGAGGTTTAACTGGATGAAGCAGATAAATCAAGAAAACAAAGTACGAAATGGGGTGGTCTTACACTGATTTCAAGAGGTGATGCGGCTGAGGGTGTACAGGCGCCTCAAAATCCAATTGCCCACGCGTCGCTTTGAACACCAACGCGCGGGACGGCTGGGAACAGTGCGTCCCGAAGCGCTATGGATGACAATGAGCGCACCCTCTTCGCACATATTTTTTTAAACTTTTGGAGGAAGTTTTGGTCAAAACATGCTTTGCATGTTTGAAAGCAATATAGAATCTGACAGGGAATTTCATGGAAAATTGTGCACGTTTACAATCATCCGCGACGACCGCTCGCTTACGCTGATATTCAAGGGTCGGCGCGGAAAGGCCTATGGGTGGCACGCATAAGCAAAGGCACACACTATTGGTCTTGCGAAGGATGTGAGGGTTGTTTTGCACTTGTGTGATGATTAGGGATTTCATGCACTTATCGTATCTCTAGCATGCTGACCGCCGGAGTGAAGGCGAACCACAATGTTTTGGCCCTGTGAGTGACAACTTCCAGCGCCAAGAAATTCCGGACTTCTGCTTAGCATTCTTCACCCTACACTTTCAAAATTACAAAAACTTCATATAAAAGGCGAAATATCATCTTCATCAAGCGTACGACGCAAACGGACCATGCAGACCGTGCACATGCCGACACGTCCTTATACCACAAGTATATCAGTCATCTTATGGCGCAAAATTTTAGAAATATTCTTTGCAGATGACAAACATGATCCACTTTTGATCAGATCACATTTAGTCTTGGAATTCCATCGAAGTTTGGTATTTCCATCCAGCGAGTTCGGACATTTTCCCGTTTTATGGTCCAAGATCGAAAATTACGACATTTTACGGTCGTAGATGAGTGCTTGATCATTCAGTTTCTGAATCATGACGTTCAACTATGCTGTAGTACAAGAAGTACGGTAGGTATAGCGCAAATCACTAGGAAGTTCGTAAAGGCAAGGGCTCATTAGCTAACCGAAAACCTCTTATAATCACCCTTTTTGCAGAGGAGAAAGCCCTGAGAACACCTTCAATAAATTGATCTTCGTATCAAAAGGTCCTCGGAAGAACTTGAACCTACATAAGCTTGCGATGGGGGCTGCAACTTTTACATCATATAAATACGCAAGAAAGGTTCCAGGTTCTCGGTTTCAGGCATTAAACAATACCGCTCCCAGAATGTGCAAAATTTCCGTGAATGTCGCAGAATTCCAGGAATTCCGCGAAGGTTCGCGAAATTTCGGAACTTTCGCGAAATTCCTGGAATTCTGCGACATTCACGGAAATTTTGCACATTCTGTGAGCGGTATTGTATATTTGACTTCACTAATCTGTATAGAAGACTTGAACTGAAAACTTTTTTTTACAATATACAGTACTGTAGAGAACCTATGCGTCTGTATTTGAAAAACTTCGCCAACATGACCACGCTCCATACTCGTATGAGGAAAAGAGTGATGTTCATGGTTGTTATCTTGCACAAACTCAAGTCAAAAACCACTGCACAACTCACAACGAGAGTAATTCAGTTTACTGATGACCATTTCACAATTAAACCATTATTGCGGATTTTATTCAGTTTGATCGCCTGCGATTAGTTTGAAGGGAACTTTAATTTTCAACGAAACCGATTTTCTCTCTGAGTACACCAAAAAGAGACATTTTCGAGTAAATTCTTCTCTCAATATGTAATAAGTCTCAACTCAGTTTCGGCTACAATCGGAACAGGCGGGAGCCACTTCGCAACGAATCGCGCCGCTTTGCAGTCTGCGTCTCTACTTTTTAATTTATCTCACTGAGCGAGTAGCGTGCGGACGCGCTGCTCCACTGGGAATGTTTCGCCTACTCCGGGTCCTCTTCATTATTCAGGAACGATTTTCTCGCTTCGAAGCGACATTCTGCGCCGCTTTGGGCATTGGTTTGATAGGTGCTTCTTATCGTATGCTGCCGAAAGCTCAAACCCCTAACTTAGGGTGGAGGGTGCCTTTGAAGGATTCTCACATACTGTGCGGACACCTACCATCCTGATAACGGTCAAACGTATTGTCTTTTATTGTACTAACATATTGTGGACTCTTCAGTTGTGGCGAGGCGATCAGTGATGGTCAACGAAAAGTGATAAATTGCGTAAGCCTCAAGGGCCGGACATAGCCGTCGCGAGGCAATCGTCGCGATTTGTAATCGCTGGGAACTAGCGACGAAAACGCGCGACGGATCGCTAATTACTCGGACATGGGGCATACCTCTCAATCGATTTGTGCATTCTCACACTACACTAAATTTTGTTTTCAGTTTGTGGTATCATTAACAAATAATAGAGAAAAGACTAGAGAAAACCAATACATTTGGAGAATGCTGGACTCATTCGCACTTCTTATGCAAAAAACCAGCTTCAAAAAGTAATGACAATCATAAAATCTTTCGGAAAGAAATCTCAATCCAAGCGATGTGTCGCGTCACGCATTTGAAACGAGCGACGCGAATTCGCTGAGATGAGCGACAATCGCGGCGATTTCGCTTGGATGAGTATGTCCTAGCAAAAAACGGTCAGCGAGCGTCGCGCCGGACAGCTAGCACATATTAACAGGGATCCTACGCACGTGTAACACTTGTCCTTTAGCAGAGCTCGCGGCGCGATGCATCGCTGTTCGGTATGTCCGGTCCTTCAGCACATGGCAACCGCAACGCGTGTGGTTTTGCACCCAGCATGCATTAAGAACCAGCCGATTTGCAACGCTGACAACTAACTTCGCTGATCGCAAGTTTTGTCTATACCTTTGGTGCGAGGCACGTTTCAAGCCTAAGGAGCTTAACAATCTTGTTTGTCCCATTCAACGCCTTCAGTGAGTGTATTATCAGCAACCATTGCAGGGATTAAACTATTGGGTTGTTTCAAAAGTTCTACCCGTTTCCGAGACCTTTTTTTTGGACTGCCGATTTTGGAGGAAGAAACCATTTTTCATAAACATTGCTTATATCATTCAAAAGCTCTTTTCCTCTAGTTTTTCAGGCATATTTTCTTTTTTAAAGATCTTTGTTCGCTGTGTGGTTGCGTACTTTGAAAAGACAGCGAAACAAATGTGAAAATGTTCGTCTTTGCTCTATCGCCGTGAAATCTACAGCCAAAAGAAAAAATTTATTTTGAAACATATATAATGTTTGCTGGAGACTTGTGCTACGAAACGCTCATCGAGATATGATTTCAAAAAAATTTTGAACCCACAAATTTCTAGCTCAAACATAACCCGTCTTTATGGTCCCTTCAAGTCGCATAAACTCATAAACATATTGCAATCGCGGAACTTTTACTCTATACAGTAAGACTAGAGTTAGAACAACTGCTACTAGAAGAAAGAAATGATTTTTTGGTTTGTCAACAGCGAACAAAATCAAAGATGTCCAAAAATTGCATTTTTTGTCGCCTTAGAAAGAGCAAAATAAGTGGGTCCTTTCGGATTTTTCAAAATTTTTATGAAAGAGTTTGATGAAATCCAAAGTTAGCGGTACTGCTAAGTCGACTATGAGCTACACTGTGAGCAGTGCTTGTGCAACTCAGCTACAATACCGCTCATAATTCGTCAAAAAAGTCGCCGGACTGCGGCGGAGTGCGCCGGAGTGCGGCGAAGTGTGGTGAAGTGCGCCGCACTCCGCCACACTCCGCCGCACTCCGGCGACTTTTTTGACGAATTATGAGCGGTATTGTATATGAAGTGAGTGGAAGGAAATATACATATACTAGCTGGCTTACCCGGCTCCGCTGTATCCGGACCAAACTTGGCACACATACACTTCGGGCCCCGGCGGGTGTCATAGTCCACTTTTCGTTATCGATCGATGTCGATTTTACCGATTTTTATCGATTTTTTTGCAGAATTCACCTACAGGGCTAGGAGTTGGCACAGGGGGAAGTGAGCATGGGGATTCCGAATACAATATTAGTTTTCAGAATTATCGATTACTTTTATTGATTTTATCGATTTTTTGGCAGAGTTCACCTACAGGGCTAGGAGTTGGCACTGGGGGGAAGTGAGCATGGGGATTCCGAATACAATATTAGTTTTCAGGATCGTCCATTACTTTTATCGATTTTATCGATTTTTTTGCAAAGTTTGACCTGCGGGGCTGGGAGTTTGCACAGAGGGTAATCGAGCATGCAGATTACGAATACAATATTAGTTTTCAAGATCGTCCATTACTTT